ATCCTCTACGCGCCCTTCTGGGACTCCAATGCGACCAGCGCCATCTTTGGCTGCTCCTTCAACACCTCACCGGGCCACATTGTCCGAGCGACGCTCGAATCGGTGGCTTTCAGCACCCAGGACATCATTTCGTTGATGTTCACCGAGGGCGACGGTGGTGGGCCGGAAACGGATGAGCCTACGGTGGACGTCGAGACGAGCTCTGTCTGTTCGGACACGCAGCCGGGCATCCGCATCGACGGCGGCATGACGAAGAATACGCTGTTTTGTCAGATTCTGGCGAACATTACAGGCCATCGAATTCTCCGGTCGGCTAATGCCGAGTCCACGGCCCTCGGAGCCGCAATGGTCGCCGGGTACTTGCACGGCCACTGGGAGACGTTTGGTCGCGGTTTGGGCAAGAAAAAGCCGAGGAAGCCCATTCCACCGAGGTCGCCTGATTCGGAGATTCAGGCGCAGATTCTGCAAAATCAGCAAAATGGAAACGGCCCGGTTCCAAACGGAAAAGCCAACGGAACCACCACCCTCAGCCCAGCAAAAGCCAACGGCCATGTTCCAAATGGAACCACCGCTTCTCCCAAGCAGCCTCCAAACAGCAACATCCCCAAGCCGCTGATTGAGCAGCTGGAGGGCGGCGGCGGTCCCGTCGAGGTCTTCACCTCGCAGCTGGACGAGAAGAGCCGCCAGGCGAAGATTCGCCAGTGGCACGAGGCGGTGAAGCGCTGCCTCCGCTGGAACCGCCACGGCAATGAGGAGCTGATTGAGTACCTCCGCCTGGCCGTCCTTCCCTTTGGCGGCTTCATCGTCGGCGCCTTCGCCATGGTCATCATCGGGGCGATCCGCCACGGCGGCAAGGGCGGACTGCTTTAAAAGCATTAAAAACATCTCTTTTTGCATTGCATCATCACCACTCTTCTTCATTACCACCATCACCTTCAGCGTTGCCTTATCACTCTCCTCCCGTGCAAGCTTAGCATCTCACTTCACACTTTACTTTTGAGCACCGCACTTTATTTTACTTTTTTCACTCACAGATTTTAAACTCAGCATCCCTAGGATGAACTTTCAGGTCCTCTGATCTTTTTCTTCACCGCCTTTCTGACAAAGTACCTATTTTCTTATCTTCTTTCTTCTTTTCTATTTTTTATTTCACCTCTCCTACCCATTAGCAACTTTTTGCTGCATTTGTTGTTGTGTTTGTCACTCATTCATTCATTCTCTCCTTCATTTCATGACCACCCCAGAATCTCTATATTTATTTACGTCCCTTTTTCAAATCTCAAATGAACTTTATTGAATAAAAGAATTTGAAGTTTTAAAATTCCACTGACAGGAAAAAAGTTTTCATTTGAAATCTGTCAGTTTCTAAGAAATAGTTTCCGAAAGAAAGTGGCAGAGGGCTGCAGCACACGCCAGTGGACCGCTTCACCGAGGACGTGACTGCACTGCAGAGGTTAATGCCCACTTTTATTCAGTGCCCCCAGCACGCTGCTTTCTGTGTTTTGCCATGTGGTGGCAAATCTTTTCTGTTTTCAGATTGTTTTCATTTTTTTGTTTGAGGATTCTTTGAAGATTCTCGATTCCTGGATCACTACCACAACCACTACCAAACCGTCGAAATGTTCTCCTTCAGCGACGTCGAGTCGGTGCACTCCAACGCCAGCTCGGTGTCGGACGCCTCGACGGTGGCCTCGAGCATCATCGGTGGCGGGCACCGGGCACATCGACGTCGGATTCTCGGTGGAGCTGGAACTTTGGGCGGCGGCGGCCTGAACTCAAAATTGCTGCTCAACGACCAATTTGAGGCGATCACCAATCGAGTGCTGGGCGCCCACAACTACCGCTCGGTGGCCAGCGGCCTGGTGATGAGCGGTAAGCTGTTCCTAGCTTTATCTCTAAAATATCCTCAATTTTAAAACTCCTCGCTTTACTTTTCCCAACTTTTAGAACTGGACCGCCTGAAGCAGAAGCACAGCAACAGCAGCAGCAACTCTAAATTGACCGTGCCCATCGTCTTTGACGTCAGCCGAGTTCAGCTGACCGCGGCGGACAGAGCTCTTCGAGAGGTGGCCAACAAGGACAAGGACGACGATCATGAAGAAGACGAAGACCCGGACAACGAGTTCCAGCAGACCACGGCCAGCGTGGCCAGCGACTTTGACCGCTACTACGGCACCTCAATTTGCGCCGATCCTCCTCCTCCGCCATCTTCTTTAAAAAACCACAACAAAACTCCTCTCCACCAGCCGTACATCGACTTTGCGCAGCACACCGCCGAGACGACCGCAAAGCTCACCCGTCTCCTCTCAACTTCAACCGAAAAATCGCTCCGGGGCAAGACCACCCTCACCGAGGACATCGAGCAGCAGTTTGCCATCCGCCCGCTGAGAACTTCGACTCGCCAGAAAAAGAAGGCCAACTCCCTGGCGGCCAAATCACGCCTGCCCGACTGGTTCGACATGCCACGANCGCTGAGAACTTCGACTCGCCAGAAAAAGAAGGCCAACTCCCTGGCGGCCAAATCACGCCTGCCCGACTGGTTCGACATGCCACGAGTGGCGGAGGTGACCAAAGACCTCGAGAAGGACCTGGCCGCCCTCCAAATGCGCCACGTCTGGAACGCCAAGAGCTTCTACAAGAAGAGCGCCCTGGAGGGCGTCGGCGGCAAAGATCTAAGCGGTGCCCGGTACTTTCAGCTGGGCACCGTGGTTGAAGATAAGGCGGACTTCTACGCGGACCGCCTGCCGAAGCGGGCTCGCAAGCAGACCATAGTCGATGAGCTCCTCGCTGACCAGGAGGTGAGGGCGACGCAGAAGAAGCGGATGGCCGCCTTGATGGCCAAAGGCGGACGGGCCCGGTGGCTGGCGCAGAAGGCGAAGGCGAAGCGAGGATCGGCGAAGATGAAGGCTCGAGCGGCGCTGAAGACCGCAAAGGGTCAGGCTGACCTGGAGGGCCGGCCGATGAACCGCGTGAACGCCTTTAGGACGTATGAGATTTAGAAACAGGATTTACCGGACTACTTTGTAAACATTGGACAACTCTCTTCCTCAACAAAAGACAACTCAAATTCAAAAGCTCAAACTTTTTGGTAAGCTTTTTCTTCTATGTTCGTCGTTATCGTCCGTAGTTCTCCGTCTGCAGCAGCACGACAATGTGATTGCTGACAAAGGCGAGCACGGCGAGAATCGTGGACTGGCGCAGGCGGTACAGGCCGCCGAAGAGGGTGACGCGAAAGTCGAGTCGTTTTAGCTCCTGAAAGGCGAGCCAGGTGTCTACGTCCCAACCTCCTTTAAAACTCTTCTTCGAATTCGAATTAATCCGCCCGTAGAGCGCCAGGAGGAGGTCCTCGTGGGCCGCTTCCGCTAGGCTTCCTGCTGAGCACAAAGCGACCAGGCGGAGGAGGTGGAAGGCGGCGACGTTGAAGAAGAAGAGGCCAAAGTGTTGGGCGTTTTGATTGCCCCCATCACCACCGCCGGAGTTGACGATCAGAAAGCAGACGGTCCCGGTGAGGAGAAGCGTGGTCACCACCATTGATAGGGTGAGCGGAAGTGCCAAACTCCCGATCACCTCCTGAAGATGGGTTTGAAGGGTTTGAAGGCGAGCTTTGATCTGCTGGAGGCGTTCTGCCGAGGTTTGTTGAACTTCCTCTCCGCTCTCATCTTCATCTTCAAAGACCTCCTCCCCTTTTATCGCCTCAATGGATCGCTTGACGGTGGTCATTAGGTAGGCAAAAAGCAGCGGATAAAGTGAGTAGGTAAAGTAGTGGTAGGCGTGTTTTAGCAGCTTCAGCGCTAGGCCTCCTAAAAGAAGGTACGGGTTTTCGTTGTGGTACTCCTCGACTCTTCCTCCTTTCTTTATGGATTCGAAAATGGCCAGCAGATAGGCGCGGGCAAAGGTGGAGAGGCCTAGGGAGATGAAGGCGACGATGGCCAGGGCGACCTTGGTCAGCGAGCGGACTGCCCAGCGAGTGTCAGTGTCGAACTTCTTTTTTCGAACACCTCCTTTCGAGGAAAGATCCGCCAGCTGTCGAACTAGGCCCCCGCCAGCGAGGAGGTTATGGCCGCAGGTGAAGGTACTCTCCGTCATCATCAGCCAGGCCATCGAGGTGATCAGCGTCTTGAGGACGGGCTTCAGCGTGGCGAAGGTCGGGTCGAAGATCTCCTTGCCCAGCGTGTACTCGGAGTTGTTCTTCAGCGAGGCGTGGACGGCCCAGGGGTCGCCGAAGAGGAGGAAGCTAAGTAGAGGGAGGATGTAGAAGGTGAAGGCGGCAAGGTTTGCTGATATTAGGAGAAGTCGAAGTGGGAGGTGGTGATTCGAAGTTGAATTGGAGTTAGAGTTTGAGGAAGAAGATTTCGAAGCGGTGGTAAATAGAACGCCGGTAAAGGATAGGGAAAAGAAGCGGTAGAAGCGGACGAGCAGCTGAAGAGAGGCGGGCGGGTCTTCGATGGTTTCCGAAGTGGCGGAGAAAATGTGCTTTAAAATGGTGGTTTTCATGTTTGTTGCTGTTTTTTGGGTGATGAAAAAGAAGTTGTGCTCTAGTGAGATGAAGTGTTTTCGTTTTTGTTTTCATGGGCTAAAAATATTTCGGCTAAGGTAAACACATTTAGGAATGTTTTTCCCTTCTGTTGTTCTTCTGTTTACATCACAAATTGCCAATTTCCGTCTGTCATGTTAGATGATGATGAGTTACCCGAAACAGAGCTGCCAGCAGCACTGCCGCCGCCGCCGTCATAGTTTTCCTGGTAAATAAATAAAAAACATTATCATCAAAATCATCATCACCACTTCCAAAAAGCTCACCGTCTGCAGGAGAATAACAATGTACTGAATGCTGAAGCCAACTAGCGTCAAAATAGAGGACTGCTTCACGGTGAAGGTTCCGGCGAAGAAGGCCACCTTGAAGTCTGCTTTCAGGCGACGAAGTTCACCAAAGAGGAGCCAGGAATCGACGGACCAGTTATCATCACTACTCTCTTTATCATCTTCATCACCCTCATCACCCTCATCATCATCACCCCCTTCACCGCCCATCGCCTCATAGACCGTCCTCAGCAGCCGCCCATAGGCGGCGGTGGCCAGGTTCCCACAGCTGTTCACCACAAAGAGCCGCAGCAGTGCAAATAGCCCAATGGAGAAGATGAAGGACGCGTAGGAGCGATCGGGGCTGATCATCAGAAAGCAAACTGATCCAATCAGCGTAAAAGTCGATGCAGCCAGCGTAAAAGTAACCGGAAGCGAGAAGCAGGCCACGGTGGTGCGAAAGTGGCCCTGGAGGGC